AAAAACTCCATTTTATCTGAACGGATAGACAGATACCACTTTTGAAAAAATAAGTCAAACGACAATAACTTTTAAAATTGAACCTATACGAGTAAAATTATAGTTATTGAATTCCTTTTAGCGTGTCTTTAAATTAGTAGAGCTTATTTTATTTTCGGTTTAAATTATATGAAAATAAAAAAAAAATTGCTTTAAAGTGCACGCTGAGAGGAATTCAATACATATAATTTTTACTTGCATGAGTTTGGTAGTTTATAAGTTATTATTATTTGAATTATGCGTACCGTATACTGTATTACCGAATAAAAGCAACCAAGTTGTTGCAAAAGAAAGGGAATTTTTTCGAGCCAAATAAATTGTTTCTATTCGAGTCCAATTTTATTAGCGTTAGTAAACATAACCACTGTCAAATTTCCGGCTCCAAAATTTGGGATTGCTTATAATCGGTAACGGTAACATACAATAAATATAATTTAGGGTCAGAATTGAAGCCAGTATTAAACAATAATACAAACAGGTTATTGCTTCATTGGGTTCCAATGGATTCTGATCTGGAATTTTGGTCTATCTGCTGAATTTTGGTTGTGCCACTAGTCTAAGTTAGACCGATGATAAACAACCATGTGAGATTATACCCGTATTTGCGCGTAATAACACACATGGGCGTTATTTCGAATAATGGCCCGAATTAAGCTTAATTTAGGCAGAAATCCAAAACTCCACCCCTGCGCGTTATTACGCACAAATTTGGTATTACTTTTATATTATTCACTCATTAAACAAAATTTTAAACCACGTTATTAGATAGAAATTCCTTACCATAGTACCTACGTAAATGATTTTGTGATTATGCTGTTCCATGGTGAATACTTTCTAAGCAAAAGTTGTGTTATTGAGTTGCGGCCCGAATTAATGCCGCAGCTCAGAATAACTGGCTGATGCTGGGCCGATGGGATGTTTTTATGACAGTTGATTGAAATTGAACTTCAGCGCTCATAAACTCTAATTTTTAATTTATAACAATTCCTTAATAATAATCCCAAATTCTTAAAGTATAATCCTTCCTGGGGCAATTATAGCTGATGTTCACACGTCCTCTAAATATCTTCTCTATGCAATTAAAGGAAATTATGGAGATGAAGATAAATATTTTGGCCAAGATTATATGTAAGTTTTTTTTGTTTTGTTTTGTTTGTTTGTTTGAATATATATATATATTTCATTTTAAAATTATTTTACACTTAGAGAATTGCGGTTTATAGCAATCGTTATTTTGCTAATTATTACTGCGTATCATATGTATTCCAGTAAATTGGCAATCAAAATTAATACGGCATTTGCCATAATTAAAATTTTGATTTTGGTTATCATTTCATTAGTTGGATTAGTAAAATTAAAAGAAGCTGATTCCAAAAATCATTGGATTGACATTTTCAATAATATATCATCAGATCAAAGATCTATTTCAGAGCAGATTGGAAATCATGTTAATGTTATGTTAAAGGTAAATATATGGTAACTCCTGAAATGGCAACTTCACTTTTTTTAAGCTCCGAATTTATTGTTCGAGTACTAGTGACTTTAAGAGATGCAAACAAACTATTGATTACTCGAACAAATATTCCAAACCTAAAAAAAGCGAACCCCAAAAGACCGCTATTTCAGGTTTTCTCTGCAGGCGTCATTTATAATATAATATTTTTAAATTGTTGACTTAAAGTTTACGTGAACTTATAGATTCTATTTTCTTATGAAGGTGCGTTAATAAACTCTTGTGCGCTTATTTATTAAATTATTAACCTATAATTAATTTATGTATCCTTGTATACATATTATATATATAAAGGGTGGAATAATTTAAATTGTAAGTGAATTCATTAAATTATTATAACGTTTGTTAAAA